GTAGCAAGTACAGAAATTCTATGGAGGACTAACAGATTGAGTCACTATAGGCCACTCTGCCCATAACATCATCTCCTTTAAGAACTTCTTTAAGAACTCCTTTAAGAAAATTCATGTTTGACTCATGACTTGCTCTGATTTTTAAAATGAAGATACCCATAATCCTAAAGAAAGGAACTCTACACTTCTGCATGAAAATAACATATCTCCAATCTAAGTGAGGCTATCCTGAAGGAAAAGTATTAAAACTCAGATGAAGTTACTATATTTTAAATTATAAATTGCATTTTCACATAAACAGTAACTCATCTGGAGTTACATTTTGAAATCATGAAGGGTCCCAAGTATAAAACGCATCCTTGGGAGCCAGTGAGTAGGATAATAATTTAACAGAGCTCCACTGAACGTCAGCAATGGCTTAACAAAGCAAGCTTTCAGGGCAGCTTCAGGACAGCCACACTGCCCATATTCCACTACTCTGAGTAACTATTTGGGGCTAACTACAATCTCAACAGCCTTGGGAAACACTCCTGTATAATGTGTTCACGGAGGGAAAAAAGTAAAATACAAACACAAAATAGTTGAAGTCACCTGAAAAGACACCACATTCTCCGTTCAGGCTCATTTACTGTCACAGTTACAAGAGACTAAAAATTCTGAATGACAAATGTACTAATTATTTCATTCAAAGAACTAAGCCAAAGTTCATCACCAAGGTCCTTGAACAAATTTCTAGAATATAAATAAATCTAAAGAAAAATACATCTCCTTCCCATCTGGCCGAAGTAAAGATATTTTGTTTCGACTACATAAACGGTATCTACACCAAAGGATATATTGAGTTAGATTCAAGTGTTATATTTCAGAAATTGCACAAATCACTGGCAAGATCTAAAATGAAAACCAGGCCTCAGGCATGCCCAGAGCCAGCTGCTACTGTCCCAAAAGTGGCTCTTTCCAAGAGAGGAGCCATTTACATGTGTAACAGCTTCAATGAGAATGTCATCTCAAGGGCCAGCACAGGCAAGCGAACATTTCAGACTGAGTAGTCAATGCCATCTGTGTAGAGCTACTCAACTCTGCCTGGGAGCACGAACGCCACCACAGACAGTGTGCCAGCACATGGATGCGGCTGCAGCCAGTACAGCGTAAAGTTCATAAAGTTCTCACATGCCATGATGTATTACTTTCCTTCTGATCTTTTCCACCCACCCCAAAATAGGGAGTCTTTTTGCCGGAAGGCACTACGAAAACAAATAGTCAGGAGTCATCTATGGATTCGGCCTATGGTTTGCAGTCTGTCCCCGGCTGAGGGGCACACTGGCGGTCAGTCTTGCACATACAGCACTATGCACATGACCTACGAACAGCATGCTTTCCCTGCTAAACGCCCTTCTCGCTAAGTCACTGTCCCAGCTGCTACTTATTTCCCATACTTTGCAGAGCAGTAATGAGGGCAGGAAGGGCATGGAGGAACAGAACAGCCTGGAGAAAGGGCACAAGCACTCCTATTGCTCCCCAGTGGCCTTGTGGGAGGTGTGGACCATCTCAAATCTCAGCTCTGGCCCTATAATGGACTGTGGCACATGAGCACCTGAAGGAAAACTGAATACACCGTCATTTATTAAGAGGAATTGGGAGAAAACATGAGCTGTAGAGAAGACCCACGAACAATGACTTGGAAACAAGGTCCTGGATGGACATGGTTGCAATGCTCTGTTTTGGCAGCAAGGGTACCGGAGGGAGAAAAAAAAAAAATGCTGGGCCAAGTTAGTTGAAGTCTGAGCAAAGAACAGCTAGTAACCTCAATGGCTGCGTGCTACTTAAACTAAACAAAATAAACGGTGAATCTCTTTGTGGTGAAAGGGTTAGGCCTGTATTCTAAAGACTGTAAAAATGAGCAAAAATATATTTCAAATAATCTGTAAGTCATTAAATCATAAACACAAAGCAAAAATAGATTTGAGTTGTGTAAACCAACCATATTAAAAAGTGATAAAAGAAAGACAAGCAAAAACAAGACAGCAAGGAAGGGGAGGAATGTCCTCAGTGCTAGACTGTCTAGGGGAAGTACAGGAAGACAGACAGAGAGACAAAGAGCAGAGGAGTTTCCCTTCTTCCCACCCCACAGCCTCTCCAGGGACTACTCTCCCCATCTCCACCCTGTAAATTGCTGATTTCCATCGGCAGATAGGGACAAGTCTTTTCTGTCTTCCTCGAATGCACCACAGCAAATTAAAGAGCTTGTAATGAACCTCGCTGAAAAACACCAGCCTTAGCAGAAATGTCTAAAGCCATTTCCTTCACGTTTGCTCTGGTCTTTGCCCAATTTAGTTCATAAAAGCGTCGAGGTGCCTCTAATAGTACAAGCTAGTCTGGATGCAGTCTGGTATGCAGGAGGCAAAGACTTGGCAGGGACACAACACTCTCCTCCTCTCATCTAGAAGGCATGGAGCACAGAACCAAGCATCCACATATGAACTTGACTGGATAGCTCCACCGGGAAAGCTCCAAGAAAGATAATTCTGACAAATGCTTCAAGGACAAATGAGTACAAATGATGGTTTTCACTGAAATCTTGTGTACATTCTCTCTGGGTCTGGAATGCAGGGGTGGCCAAAAGGCACGCAGGACTTCACTTGGCAGACCTTTCAGTTGCTGTAACAAGTAGGACATTCCCAACTGTTGAGCACGCATCCCAAAGCCAGGAAGCATATTCCGAAAGCACATTCACTATAATAGTGGAAAATTGCTAGAAAAACTGCTTTCCAGAAAAACATTGCCAGGCAAGGGGTGAAGACCTATAGTCCTGGCTACTCTAGAAGCTGATATGAGAGGATCACAGGAACCCAGGAGCTCCACAAAAAACCCTCAAAAGTAAATGGAAGGGCAGAGGAGGAGCCACTATCCTCCCCATAACATTAGTTGTGTTGCCTCTAGCGATTTATCTTGCACAGGGATTCTCAAGCCTTTCAGAAGACAGACCGTTGGGTTTTTGAAGACTTCTTTCGTTCTCACATTCATTTCTGGGAGCTACTGGCATCGAGTGGGTAGAGATCAAGGCACAGCCAAACTTACAATGCATAAGATAGCCATCAAGAGCAAAAGGCTACAGCTCAAATTTTCGATAGAGCCAAGAAACGTTGAGTGAATCCATTCCTTCTGTGTGGGAGGGTGAGCAAGCATTCGCGGGTTTGCCTTGTATGAAGACAATCTCAGAAGTCACTCCACGTTGTTTGACACGGGGTCTCACATTCACAGGCATCTTCGCCATGCAGGCTACACTAGCTGGCCAGGCACTTCCAGGGATCTGCCTGGGTCTGTCTGAGACCTCATCGTCAAAGGGATTACAAGCATAGGTCACCATGCCCAGCTTTAAAGCGGATCCCGGGGAATCCAAACTCAGACCTCACACTTTCAGGCTAAGTACCTTACCAACTGAGCCATCTGAACACATTTTTACTGACTAGCTCGGACACACTGACAAGTAACGGGGGTCAGAAGTGATAGGCACTCTGTTGAAGGCCTACTAAACTATACAATTTAGACCTTAAAGATTATTTCCAGATTTATGTAATGATTTTCAGGGCTAAAACTAACCAACGCTGATCAATCTGACCAAATTACCGAACAATGTACCTCCTGCATTTCTTAGCTTATCACAAAGCATGAGCGAGCACCTACTTACATATGTCACCAGACTGGCGACTGCTCTGCTTGGTTCCATTGGTACACGCTAACATTTCTAACCTTTAGTTCATAATCGAACTCTGTGCCTACCTACCAAAGAAACCAAGTCTCAGATGCCAACTCTGGATTTTATATGGAAAACATTCATATCTGAAATTCCCTTCCACTGATGTTACACTCCATTAAGAACTTTAACATCTGATCCCATGATACTTGAAATTTTGCACGGGGAAGAAATTGAGTTTTGACTAGAAATTTAAAGGTAGGAGTGTGGCATGGATATCCTCTGTAAAAAGTGACAGGAGGCATCCGAGTGGCATAAAACACATACACAAAAAAAGTTCTGACGCCAAACTCTGAAATTGGCAAGTCTTCAAGGTTATTTTTATTTATCAATAAAAGCTTATTTGGGTGTTTTAACGAAGAAACTTTTCGAGGTAGGTTTTTACATTGTATGTCTCTATTTGCATTTGTATGGTTTTCGAGTGTTATGCTAGAAGAAAAAAACCTTCAATGTGTGACTAAATTCAGTTCCAATTCAGAATAATCATACAGGTTCAGATTTCCCTGTGACTGATTGAATAAAGAAATGCATTTCTCTAGCTAACAAAGCAAGCACTGTTCACAGACGCAGAGGCTGTTAAGCGCTTAGGTTTCATGAACTGCCCGAAGAGGAAGACAAAACGATGGGCTACACAGACCAGCTGGACTTGTGCCAAATGTCACCCTCTTAATTGGAATCCCGAGGTGGAAATGTTTGCTCGTGGGTTTAGGTTCCTGGAGAAAAGGATCTAACTAGTTATTCGAGAAGGCAGACTTATCGCATCCACCCACTAAGGCTACATCAGGTCATTTAAACCCAAGGCTCTGTTCCAGGGAGTTGAGCCCAAGACCCAGAAGTGGAAACCGCCAAAGAACTCCCCTGCGCGATAAAGCGCAGCAAGTCGTGCTTAGACAAATAGGCGGCGGGGCTCTCCTCTGGCTGAACCCAAAAAGTTTTGTTCACACGAACTTGCCTCCAACTACTAATTTCTGTTCAGCTTCCGAACCCCGGCCAGGGCCAGGGCTCAGGGACCCCTGACTCTGCGTCCCCAAGTGGACCAGAAGGAGTGGGTGGGCGCGCAGTGGGTCCCCAGCACGGTTTAGGGACAGAGGCAGGATGGCGGGTGCTTTCTGGGGCGCTGGGGACACTGTCACCGTCCATCAGAAAGCACGGAGCCGCTGCTCTTAGGTCCCAAAGCTGCAAGAGAAGGTGCCCGGTGCCCGGTGCCCGCCAGACCCGCCCGCGGAAGCCGGCGTGCGGAGCTCACCTGCTGGGATGTGCGAGGGCGTCTCCTCCGCCACGCCCAGGCCCGCCGCCCACAAGAGCAGGGCGAGCACCGGCAGCAGGCGCCCCGGCCTCGCTCCACAGCCCCTCATTCTCCCCTGCGCCCGGGAGTCCGGGAGGCCTGCGGCGGCGACTTCTCGCGAGACGCGGAGACCCCGAAGCGCGCTGGACCAGACCGAGGCCCGGGGCGGCGGAAGGCGGCGGCGGTGGCGATAGGACGGCGCGGACCGGACGGACAGCAGAGCGGGCGGAGGGCACGGAAGGGACTAACGCGGAGAAGTGCGAGCGCGCGGAGCAGACGGCCGAACTCGCGGTGCCGGCGGCGCCCGCTTAAGAGCGGCACCGGCGGGCGGGCGGGCGGGGCCGGGGGCGGGGCGCTGCTCCAGGACCCCGCGTCCCCGGCCGTCGGGGCTGAGCCCCCACCTTCCCAGCCGCCTACGCCTACGTGCACCGCCTCACGCCCGGGCTGCCCTGAGCGCCCTTGTGGGCTGAGCGCTTTGCCCCCACTGCCCGCATTCTAGAAGCTTCCAAGGTGCGCCCTGGCCAGACCTCCCTTGCTGAACCGGGCGCTCGGGTGGTGGTGAGAGGTGGCTGCGCGGCTTCAGTCTGCTTGACTTGTCACTCCCAGCAACAGTGATGGGGAATCCATCCCCGGACACTGTAGCTTCCTAGCTTAGCGATCACTATGTCAGAGAAGGCCATGCTTTGATTGTATTCTGTAAACAGAAACTTCTCATTGTCCGATCAGCAGTTCTCCGGGTTGCTAATGCCAGGAGAGTCTTAGACTCTTTCCAGTAATGAGGCTTGTAAGCGCAGCGGAATCCAAGCCAGCTTTTGTAACCTGAGGCTGCGTCTTACAAGATCTTCCTGGCCAACCCATGGAAAATTACTTCTGAGGGTGCAGGGGAGCCCATTCCTGGGTTCCTGGGAGCCACCTCCAGTACTTTGGGTTTTGATAAGTGTGCCTATGCAGTCCTTATTTCCTGTATTCTCACACTTTAGCCCAAAATTTAAACTGAATTGTGTGTCAGTGAAAGTTTTGATAACTTTGTCTCACACACGCCAAAGTATGCTTACTGAAAGAAAGAAGAATCAAATTGCCCGCATTCAGGAATTCTCTACTTAAATGTCCCTGAAACAAGAGGAGTAAGGAAATACTCATTCTAACTCAGAACTTTTGAAATTAACATTACTCAAGTTCATGATCATAGCTTTTGTAAAATTGGCATTAAAAACAAGAGGAATAGTAGCTGGCATATTAAAAACAGGTAGGAAAGTTTTTTTTTTTTAAATATTTGGAGTCTGACATTTAGAGGGAAAAAAAATCCTGAGACTAGACCCAAGGCAGTTATTACAGTGTTTTGAAGATTTTGTTGTGTCTGTCTCCCTCCCCATGACCTCTTTTTGTAATAAAGAAAAGTTGTGGAAAGGTCAGATGTGTGTAGAAATAAAGAGACGGAAAGTGTGACTGGAGAAGACTGAAATAAGGAAGAATGAAGTGAGGCTTGGTTTCTCCGAAGAAGGACTCGCTGAGGGATGGATTTCTTTACAATGTGGGTGGCAGGTACAGCATCATGAATCCAGGCCGGGCAAGCAGATCCATCCTTCAGAAGAATGGCAAGTCTTTTGGATAACTATGTTTCCAGAATTCCAGACTTCTCACTGCCAAGGTCCTTTAACTTGACTTCCTGCTTCCCGACCCTCTGAAATCCTCAATTTGCCTGGCTAGTATTGGAATTTCCATGTATGCTTAACTGTAAAGTCCACCAATAATTACTGGTTACTATGACATTCTCCTGCTCTGTTGAGTCTCAATATCAGAAGTGTCTCTGAGATTTTCAAAATTGCCAGGCGCTTCAATCACAGCCTGAAAGTGCCCCATTATGAAACCAAATCCTTCTTCTCATCTCAGGTTGCCAGCTCCTCAAATCCAGATCTCACACCCAGTTTCTTCATCTTGGCTAATGATGCTCTAAGTCACATGGGTTCAGAAAAAATAACAACAACTCTGCTCTCAATACTACCCACCCAGAGAGGTCTTACCTTTTTCCTTCTCAATTTCTCTGTCTCCTTCCATTTTTTCTTGCTTGCTAAAGTAACACACCCCTAATGCTACAGCTCAAGTTCTATCCTCATTGGCCAACTTTCCTGTGGCTGCACTGGGTCCCAAACTGGGGCACTCTATTTTATGGCTAGACCCATCATACTCATGATTTTTTCATCTCTAAACTGAAAAAGAGTTAACAGAAAATCCGGAAACAATCCTAACCCATTAGCCTAGAATTCAGATTATTCCACTAAAACATTAACCACCTCATTCTATATCCTATACTTGTTTGATCTGGCTTGCTGTCTCCCAAAGCACGACAGATGTTTTATTTTTACACTGCAAAGTTTGTGTAGCAATCACTGACATCATTTTGGTTCCTGTATAGGCCAACCTTGACCCAAGAATACAGGAAGAGCATTTTGTGTGGTGTTCAGAAGAAACTGAGTAGGTGAGGTTGAAAAATTTGAGAAAAGACAATCAGGAGTTGATCCATTTTGTAGTCTAACCCAGTGGGTGGGGCCCTTCATTCAACAGACCTGGTGTAAAATTTACCCCCCCCCCATAGATAGCCTAACCAAGGTACAAGCTATCTGGGCTATCTTCACGTTCAACACTATCATTCATTGACTGGAGGACCATGAAACACTTCTTGGTTTCTACACATTCCCAGCCTGCTATGCCCAGAGATACAGCAACCCACCAATGATTGCGTAAATCTGGACTATAAGAAGTCAGAATGGCATGCTCAAAATGGTAAGACCAAAGGAAAATCAAGAGTAAGGCTGTGCTCCTTGGTTCATGTTATCTTTCTGTATAAAGATAAGGAACAAACAACCCACTCCTCCTCCTTAGAGATTCTGCCTACAATTTGGATAGGGCAGAATATTCAAGGAGTTTATGTCATGTTAAATCTTTGTCCAAGCCTATTTCCTTTGTTGCTTTTATTATGAGACATTTTTTAATATCAGTGAAAATTTTATGGCGTTTTTACTCCCAAGTGAGGAAAAATATATTAAGTGTATGAATGTAATAAGTGATACAGAGAAATCAAGAAGAGTAAAAACATGAAAGAGGAAATTTGCTGTAAATGTAGTAAACGGTCTGGGACAGCATTACAGAGAACATAATTGGGGTGTGCAGTGTGGGCAAGGCGATCCTGGCACGATAAAACAGAAATGCAGAGGCCCTGAAGTTAGGGGCGAGCAAGAGACCACACTGGCTTCCATGTTGTGTTAAGAATAGTGAGATAAAACCTAAGAACTGATAAGGAGGAAGAGGCAAACAGCTGAGCATATGGAGAACCTGCCTGACTTCCTCTTTGACCTAGGTGAACAACAACAAAAAAAAAAAAAGTCCTGTGAATGTTGTAAGCAGAGCAGAAGTGTGCCTTGAGGAGGGTTAAGAAAGAACGAGACTCCAGATGTTAGATGAAAAACGAAGGGATAGGTCGTGGCGAAAAAGCAACACTAGAGACCGATTTAAGGACTGAAGGCCAGCAAAGAGACCATAGTGGCTTTAACCACATTGACACTAGTAAATCCAAGTCAACTTCTCAGCAAGTTTTATTGTCCAGCCAACAACTTTTATGCTCTGGGTGTGGGTGTGAGAGAATAAAATTTGTTGAGTGAATGAGATGTAATGTTCTAGGAACATACTTCATACCTGGGGTGGACAGAGAGGGGAACGTTACAAGAAACAAACTGGAAGGAAAATAACCAGACAACCGAGACATGAAATGAAAGAAAGAGGGCTTTCTGGAGAGGGAGGAAACCAATAAAGTCAGACAAACCAAACGGATCCACAAACGAGTTTAAAGGAAGGAGAGTGGTTTGAGTGGTCTGGACACAAGTTTAAGATTTAAACCCCAGAAGGGAGCAGAAACCAGATGGTGGAGAATGAGAGAAAACAGCAGAGCATTCCTTTGTGAGTCCATCTAAACCAGGCATTTTCTGAGCACATCAGAGTGCAGCCTTCCCCACTTAGGGATGATTAAGTTACCACAAAGCTGAAACTGCCCTTCAAGTATGGAAGGTTTGTAACATACTCCAGGGGCCCCACCCAGTCTCCAGGTTTTCAATCTATAAACTAAGCAAACATGATTTCCCAAGAAATTGTCACACACACACACTAAACACTAAAGGTCGAATGCCTTTTCGTCCAGTAAGAGAAATGAAGTGAGCTGCCTAGCAAAGCTAGTTACTTAAAACAGTGAGCGTGGGTTGATTGGGGGAGGGGGAGGGAAATGGGAGGCAGTGGCGGGGAAGAGACAGAAATCTTAAATAAATAAATAATAAGTAAGTAAAAGAAATCGTTGTTCCTAACCAACACTTTCAGACTAAATGTCATTGTTTAAATCGTAACTACATGGATGCTCACCTTACTAGACCTGGATGGAGGAGAGTGGTCTTTGGACTTCCCACAGGGCAGAGAACCCGGATTGCTCTTTGGGCTGACGAGGGAGGGGGACTTGATTGGGGGAGGGGGAAGGAAAGGGGAGGCGGCGGTGGGGAAGAGACAGAAATCTTTAATAAATAAATAAATTAATTTAAAAAAAGAAAAAAATAAATCGTAACTACATGCATTAGTTACCTTATGCGGGATCTTCCCTAAGTAGGTATGAGTTGTGAAGTCCATGTACACTGGAAAATGATGTCAGACAGAAAACTAACTGAGCCAAGTTTAAAAAAAAAAAAAAAAAAAGTAGGCCAGGACCAAAAGAAGAGCCAAATCGTGCACGGTATTCTGAGAAGATGATTCTAGCAGATGTTTTCTGACTAGTCAAAATGATTGGGACAGAGCTGTCTGTGCCATGAGTCATCCCACAAGCCCAGCAGCAGACATTTGTGGTGGCTGCATTTACCATCCAAGCATGTCTCACTGAAGTTCAGTCATATCAACATGTCTGTCGACCCAGTCAACATGTCTGTTGACACAGATAACTAAAACTCCACTAACTGTGACTAGCCATGGGATAATGTCATGTTTTCTTGTTCAACAGTAGTTTCTAGTGATTTCTTTCTGGTTCTCGTTTTCAGTTTTCATGTTTCCTTAATTAAGTATGACCCAGGGGTACATTGCCCTGAAGCTAAGAAATCTCAAGTGTCATAAATATGCTGTGAATATGAGGAGTGACTGGGAATTGTAGCTTAGTCTTGTTTGGCAAGAAAGCCACGTCACAATTATGAATCATTAAGAAAAATATCTCTTAGCCACTGCCATAGAACTCTTAGATAGAGGGCCTAAAAATTTTATTTTTAGCAGGGGGTTGCATGTGTGCTACAACAGGTATGGGGGGA